TTCAGATGCCAGTAACAGCTGAACATAAACAGAGGTCCAAATTTTTAATGCCTTTATCCAGTGACCGTAGCATAATGCCTGTTAGGCCTTAGATTGCCAATCTAAGCCATGTGGCAATCTCCCTTCACCTTGAGTAAGTTTTGTGCCCTCACTCATGCTCTCATGTTGTGTTATATCACTGTTCAGTCATGGAGCTCACTATGCAACTTTGGGTCAGTAACAATCTCTTAGTCCAGCCTACCTACTCTGTCTATGGTTATAGGGATAAAATGGGTGATCTGTACAGACTTGATCTTTCAGAGAAAGCTAAACATAAATGAAATAATAAATATTACCTATTTAATGAAAATATGCCCATGAAATATTGGGGTGATGGGAAATGAACAAAGATATTGAAAGGAAAATTTTTCTGGTTGTGGAATACATTGTGATAACACACAGGATGACAGGAAATCAAAATATTAAATTAAAAGACAATTATGACAATAATTGTGATATTAATAAGACTGACTGATACAAATACTGGCATGACAAAATAGCAATAATGGTGCATTGGAATATCTGCAAGAATTGGTGGGACCACAAAATTGACAAAATAATAGAAAATGAAGAAACTAAAGTGTTCTGGGACTTTAAAATTCAAACAAACAAGCGTCTGTCATATAACACATTAGACTTAACAATCGTTGATAAGAAAGCCAAAAGAGTCTGGATAATGGGTATACTAGTACCTGGAGACAGCAGAATAAAGACAAAGAATTGGAGAAGATCACAAAATATAAAGTCCCTCAAATAGAAATAGAACAACTGTGGCAAAAGAAAATAAAAATAGTACCAATAATAATAGACTCCTTGGGTGCAATCTCAAAACATCTGGAGCACCACCGGAACACCACTGGCATTGACAAAATTGTCACCAGCCAATTGCAAAAGGCAACATTATTTTGAACAGCTTACATCCTATGACAGGGGTCTTCAAACTTGGCTCTTTTATGACTTGTGGATTTCAACTCCCAGAATTCCTCAGCCAGGCACGATAAAAGGGCCAAGTTTGAAGACCCCTGTCCTACGACAATGCCTTTAACTCCATACAACTGCCTATCACAGATCCTTGGGAAGGATTCAATAGGTGGACAAAAATGCCAGATCCAGTCTAAATATCTGGAGGTCTGTGCAACCAACATAACAAAAACAATATTTTTTACAATAGTTTGGACCCAAAAAGTGAATATGTGCATTGTAGATGCGACATGAATTTACTATCAGTCATCACAGTAGCAATAAAAAACTACATTAGTAATAAAAGCTTTATATTTTTCTGAAGGACTATCATGAGACAAGATGTTTACTTAATAAGTTATTATCTACACATTTAATGTATCTATAATAAAAAAAAACCTTTGGTTTTAGATGGTGGTATTATATTCATTGCAATTTCCTCCTGCTTCAAAATGCCAGCAAAATAGAAATTAATAACAGGATAATATAAAGACATTGCTGAATCTCATATGCTATTACAGATTTAGAAATGTCTATCTCTTTGATGTTATTTTGAATTTGTGTTTCAGATCAAACTTGGGCTGAGGAGAGATTTGTCCAACAGAAACTGAAGAGATGCAGTTGCTGTGTGACTAAGCCATGAATAATAGTAAAAGTTCGCCCTTGTTAAGAAAATTTATTTATTATTCCACTTATTTATTACAATTACAACCTGCTTTTCATTCAGGAACTGGTGACAGAATACATGATTTTCTTCTCTTTTCTCTCCCCTTTTATTCTCACAATAATCTTGTGAGGTTGGCTAGACTGAGATAGAGTAACCAGCCCAAAATCACTTGATGGATTTCCATGACTGAATAGGATTTCAGGCACAATCTCCCCAGTCCTGAAGCCTCTGTACCATATTCCCTTTCTTATACTCTTGGGGGGAGATAAATGATGGAAATTTAGGATGTGGCATTTCAGTAAAAGAAAAGAAAAGACATACTGAAAAGTCCACTTCTTTTTATAAGTTCTGAACTTTTTAAAAATGCATGTTTGAAAAGCACCCCAAACAGCTTGTTGATTAACTGTCTTTCTATTGTGTAAAGTTTAACTAGAATTGACTAGAATACTGTTTTTCTAAAGAGTCCAAAACATGAGATCAAATTCAAAATGTAAATTAACGAAGCTAACCATTTCTGTTTCAAAACTTGAAATATTATAAATGGGAACTTACTCTGGTATGCGATCACTTGGATCATACCTACTTCCTAAAATATTATTTAAATTTATGTCATGTAGTCTTAAAATATTCAAGATGACATATCCATTGCGCATTCACAAACTCTGCTATACTGTTGTAGCTAGCTAGGCAACTAGGCTTGGGAATCATGAAAGGACTATAATCCATTTGTATTTTAATTGGTAACTGTTGTATTTTTATTGCCAGGAAGCAAGAGAAGCACATGTGAGCCTAACTGTGTCAGCTCCTTAAACAACTTGAGTGGCTACTTGGCTATTCTGCACAACGACTTTGGATGAGCGAGGTGAGAATGGGAAGGCAGGTGGGATACAATGTCATTGACAGTGAAATATTTTTGGGCAGACCAGACAAGTATATAGAAGTAAATCTCTGTCACATATATTTTTGCCAAGCCAAATTTATGAATGTTTAAAAGCTACGCAGTGAGAAAAAATTCAACAGCACAATTTTTTTCCCCCATCACTGCCTTGTAATACCCTTTATTGGAAGCGTCCATCAGTCATGCAAAATTCTAGGTAAATAGCAGAGAATCTGGAAGCCTAGATCTGTCCTTTAGATACTTCCTGTTTGGTTTCTGGGATGTAGCTTCATCATCCACAACGGAGAAAAGCATTTCCTTCTGAGTTTTGAGGCTTCTGCTATCCTCCAGTCTGATCCCATGGCCACTGCTGGTCAGACTTATATTCTATAATTACACGTAGATCAATTCAAGTACATCAACCTGTTTCATTGTATAAAAAAGGGCTTAGGTATAAGGAAAAGAAAATTGCCATTTGGATCACTGCACTTGTCTGAATGAGTGTTCCTAAAATAATTTGGGGAGAAAAATCATTTGATTTGAATCAGAGGCAGAAATAACATTTGTCCAAAAAATTGTAACTATGTAACTACATACATTTGGACCACACTGGTTCAAGATAAGCTTCTTATGCAAATGATATTCAGCCTCAAGAAGAAGGTAGATAATGGAATTATTGAAAAGTCAACTACTCATCAAAAGGATGACAGAAAAATCAGGCAAGGTCCTAATATATGGGTAAGAGGCAAATGGACTTGTTACAATCACTGCTTTTAATTTATCAAAGCAAAGCTGTCACAAGTCAGACACTGACAAATGCGTATCTAATGCATATAAATGAGCCAATTATCACTAATAGTTGGACAGTTCAATGCTGTGTAGACTTCATTTTTATTGCATTTTCTTTTTAAGAAATGAAATTTTAAGTGGAAACCAAACCATCTATAAACAATGATTGACAACCTAAACAGTTGTGTTTTATCATAAACATTTTCTTCAGAGAACCTAAATGCTAAAATAGTCTGAATAATTCTGAAATGCTCTGCCATGATTGATCATCACAGCACTGTCAGCAGGATTCTTCAAATAATTTTTTTTCCAGATCCCAGAGGAGAATTTGAAGCTTCAGGGTAACATTCTGGATTCCCCCCCCCCACACACACACAAATCAATCCCATGCATATCAGATTTAGACCACTGAATAGGGTACTTGCATTTTTTAAAATTTAATCTGTAAAGGTATCAGGACATAAACACATACCCATACATGGCACTCAATAAGAGCTTTAAGTTTTTTTTAAGGTGTACAACTCAATTGATTGTATCGTATATGCTTCTTTAGATTGTAAATAAAAAAATGACCAGTTTCAACAATCAAGAGCATAAAAATTGATTATATTGTTCAGCAGACATTTTTAAGATTCATAAAGCTTATAGGTGTTGTTCCACTTAGCCATTTGGTTCTAACTTAGATTGAGTATGAACTCAGTCACTATGATTTTCAATCCATGGTTTATCTTATATGGTTGTGTGTGAACTGGGCATTATGACCTGTTCAATCAACCAGCTAATAATTTGTATGAACCCAGTCTGTTACTTGATGTTTAGCAATGTAAGTTAATATTTATTCACATCGTTGAAAAATTAAAATAAGATAATGTCTCTCCCCAATCTAGTTCATTCAGTGCATTCTAGTGGAAAAAATATGAGCTGGAGTCAAATCCCTGCTGCCAATGTAAAGCTCACTAAATGTACTTGGAGAGTTACTCTCATCCATGTCTCTACGATCATGAATGAGTCAGAATCACCTGAACCACCAGAATCACCTGAAGGAAACTCAGGCATGCAGCAAGCAGATTTTAAGGTGCTGTGTGAAGTTGGCAAATTGTGAACTTTATTGGTGATAAAGTTCCAATCATTAGCTAAACCATTCCTCTAGATAGATCTATGTTCCTTGGTTGTAAGTTAGCAAAGCAAAATTAGAATGGGTGATTCCATTTGGTGGGAAGATAAGAGGCACTGTGATATAGTAAGTAAGATCATGAATTTAGATGCAGAAGAACCCAAGATAATCAAACCTTCATCCACAGAAACTCCCCAAATGAGATGTTAGCCTAGTTAATCTCTCTCAGCTCAACCCCAACTTATAGGATTGTTGCTATATGGGGGGGGGGGAGAAGAAATTCTATATATCATCTTGAGTTCCTGAATCAAAGGTCAGATATAAATAATATGTTACAAAAAAAATAAACATGCAATCAAATAAATATAAATAATAAATTTATAGTTAAGATCTGTGCCTATCAATAGTCACAATACTTTTTTTCAAATGTAATACAAATTGAAAAAAGTAGCTTTTATTCCCCTACATGTATGTTCATTACTAAAGTTTTCCACAGATCAGTTCACAATGCCTTTAAAAATTAGCCTTTCAACACAAAAAGTGGTATTACTTACTGAGAAATAAAGTGGTTGAATCCTCTGGACCAATTTTCTGGTTGGAACAGCGTTGGAGGGGGATTCCTGAAAAATATGCAGGCACTTTGTATGAATAGTTAAAACAGTCAAACCAATTGTTTAATACTAAAATCTGTTGTTGATGTTATCCAGAAAGAATTGTTCCCAGATGTTTTCAATGTGGAAGATACCCATGGATTGTTCCTGCTATTATTGATAAATGAAATTCCTTGTCTTGGTCATCCATGTTCTTCAAACAATTTAAGGAAGTTTAGACAAGGGTTTGGGATTGTGGCCGAACAACTAGGCTCCAAATATTACTTATTCTGATGAAAGAAATCTTCCTATACCATTTCTATAGGCAAAGGTTTCTTCCAGATGATCATTCATGCAAACAGAAAAGATGTAACTAGCCACAAATATGGGTAAAACACTTTCAGAGCTACTCCCCTCACAGAAAAGTCTGTTATGTATATCTTGCACTGAATTCTGAGTATATTTGTTGAAAATAATGTAAACAACAACAATAACAGTATATGTGCCTAATAATTTAGAGCAATAGAAATGAAAAAAGAAGAAGAGCTGATTTTTCAATTTCTCCCTATGCCTGTATCTGGGATATGTGCATGTGTTCAAAACTGAGCAAAACACAGCTAAGAAATAATAGCTCTATAATGAATGGCTCACTTTCCTCTGCATCTATCTGAAAACCATATCTGCTATCTCATTTTCTGCAGATTGTCATGTTATCTGAGCCAAATGTATTATTACTTTTCTCTTTTCATACAGTACTGGTTCAAAATGAGCAGGGAAAATCCAAAATACTTGCCGGATATGCATCATTTATCACATTTACTATTAGGACGCAATGTGATGGGTTATATTCAGTGACATTAATGCTTAGGCTCATGTTCCATTAAATAGGTCCTATCACCACCTGCATCAGAGCCTCAGATGCAAGATACACAAATCCCATCTGCGAAGATGAATTGAGGCAATAGCTACTTGCATCTGCTTTAAAAATTCCGTACAGGTCCAATAATTGGTTAGGAAAACAACTAACTAAGCATACCAACGAAGTCTTCAGGAGACAGTCAGAAACTTTACCAAGCAAAAATCCATTGGTTCTTTTGGCCATATGATCCTTGGTGAAAATAAAACTACAATGCACCCGCCCCCCCGCCTTAGAAATCCTCTATAGATAAATAGCTTTCTTTCCTGGCGAGCAATCAGAGTAGCCTAACCTGTACAGGCCACATTGGACTCACTCTCGTGGTTATGCTAATGTGCTATCCTTCACTCCTGAGCCCACAAAAAAGTATGGCAATACAAATTGCCCTGCACCAGCAGCCAAGTTCTAATCTGCCATAGGAACAAGGCCAACAAGTGGTGCTGTCCTTAAGACAGTTGATGTTAAATTAAGAAAAATACTTTTTGGATTCCCTGGCTTTGTCTCCCAAATATCACCTACAATTGGGAAAACCAGCAATTGTTCTTGTTAATGTACAGTGGAGCAGCAATAAGGGTATTTTAAATAGTTACATTAGCCATTTTTCAGCTTACCTGGGCCACCATAACAGAGCATAAATACACAGAGAGACTGTTAACTGAAGCACAACTCTAGCAATCTTCAGAAACAGTGCTAGACTTATTGACTCACAGTCTAGTGGTGTTCTGGAAGAGCTCCAAGTCTATGCCCCAAATATAACTGACAGATTCCATGTACAGTGGAAGGGCACCCAGAAGTAGGAGGAAGATCCAGCAGGACAACAATAGACTTCTGTTCAGAAAGAGCCAACTAAAAGGTCACAGGTATGACCAAGTGATTGCAAGGAGTTCCAGGCGGGTTCCCCTCCCATCTTACTTCACGCAGCAGGCTTTGCATAAACGAGGCCTTTGTTCTTGTTAATTAACATAGCCTGATTTATTTAGGCTTTCATGTGGACTTACAAAAAAGGAGCCAGTTCTTTAAGAGTCACTTAGGCTTTAATAATTTAATTTCTTAAAGTTGCAGCATGTTTTTAGGCACACTGATCATCTAACTTGATGGTTTTTAACTGATGGCAGAAATTCCCTACTTCTAATTTCATTTTTGATGTGTGCCGTTGTGCCCACAGTAAAAAATGACACTAAAGGTTATCTAATTACAAAATCTGGTCTGCAACTTCTGTATTACCACTGGTTTTTAAAAATTGAGCCGTTTTGGTGTTCGGGGAAGGAAATTCCTGATGCCGGGGTCAGGGATTTTTGTGCTAAGGAGGTGAACATTTTTTTTGACCCGAATGTAAAAACGGACCTCAGAATGGGATTCGGGGTTAAATTTCATGCTTAAAAATGGTGCTTTTTCATCTTTTTAAAAATTGAGCCGTTTTGGTGTCCGGGGAAGGAAATTCCTGATGCCGGGGTCAGGGATTTTTGTCCTCAGGAGGTGAACATTTTTTTTGACCCAAATGTAAAAACGGACCTCAGAATGGAATTCAGGGTTAAATTTCATGCTTAAGAATGGTGCTATTTAAAAATGGGGATTTTTCATGTTTTTTAAAATTGAGCCATTTTGGTGTCCGGGGNTTTTTTTGACCCAAATGTAAAAACGGACCACAGAATGGGATTTGGGGTTAAATTTCATGCTTAAAAATGGTGCTTTTTCATGTTTTTAAAAATTGAGTCGTTTTGGTGTCCGGGGAAGGAAATTCCTGATGCTGGGGTCACGGATTTTTGTTCTCAGGATGTGAAAATGTTTTTTTGACCCAAGTGTAAAAACGGACCTCAGAATGGGATTTGGGGTTAAATTTCATGCTTAAAAATGGTGCTTTTTCATGTTTTTAAAAATTGAGCCATTTTGGTGTCCGGGGAAGGAAATTCAAGGAAAAAATAGCTTATGTTTCATTTCTTTAAAATAAAAAGTAATTATTTTATAATATAGACAAACTATTTAAGTTATATATTTGTAGTATCCCCCTCATGACATAAGTGATTTATACACATACTTTCTCTCTTTCTCGCTCTCTCTGACACACACACACAGACACACACTCTGACACACACTCCTTAGCTTGTTCAAACTCTTGTATTAGTCTTTAAAAAAAAATTTTGATAGACAAGTGAGAATATTTGCAGCAGCAAAAGTTGGAACTAGAAAAATAGGGGCACTGTAGGAGAAAGAGAGAGTAAAGATACAGGACAGATTTTTTTAAAAAAATAGGAATGTTTAAACATGTTTTCTAAGCTGGTTTAGCAGGTTCCATACAGATAAGCAGGAAATTATTCCAGCCCATATTTCAATTGCACGATTTTGCAGGACACATTCTGATTTTGAAGACAAAGCAATTGATAAATCACTTTTTTCTTTCAAAAAGAAAAAAGCACTAAGCAAAGTAGTGCAAGTTCATTTTTTATAAGCAAAATAATGTTTAGAAAACAAGTTCCCTTTTTCATTAGAAAAGGTTATTAGGTTAGTGCATTAATATGATTGTTCACATAGCAATAGGTTAAACTTCAAGCAATATACTGTAGTTAAAGCATCTAAGCTGATGATGGGAAAATCATAAATATCTGTTTCAAGAGCAAAGTATTGGATTTACTTCCAAGTAAAACATGAGTGCAAGTAAACAAGAGTACATTACTTCCAAATGAAACATGAGTCCCCTAAAACACAATATAAAACTGCTTGGTATGGGATTGAAAAACTATTCAAACACTTGGATCAGCATCAATGTCAACCTTTTTAATGAATTCATGAGCCACAAAATTCAGGAATTTGGCAGCTTACAAGGGTTTATTAGCCTTATGCTGAATCTTACAAGTTATTTTCTTTCCATGATTAATTTTTGTTATTAGCTATTTTCAATCAAGGTAGGAGGAAAGGTGCACTGTACAAATAATTCAAGAACTAGATGAATAAACACAATTTGGTTCTCCATGGACAAGCTTCATAACACACATTTAAACTATTTTAACTTTATGCTTTCCTGTGTAGGATAATGTTCTGCTTTTTCATGGAGCTACTGAAGCAACTAAAATTAAAACTCTCTGGGGGAGCCAGAAATCAGTCTAAAGAATTTCTCATATCCATGTATTCATCATAAATTAATATATTGTTTTTATATCCCATTATTATTATTATTATTGGTATACATGCTACCTGGCAAGGAAATGTAACATTTAGAATATTCCTCTATATAATTAGGTAAGATGGCACCTTCAGGTGTGATGAATTACTAATCACGAACAAAATTCTATTCCACGCAGACATAGAAAATAGTCACATAAGAGACAATGCTCGCAAGATGTACACTTCCTGACAACAAAGGACTAATTCCTTTGACTTTTTCATGCAAATTCACTGGATTTGAAGTTCCTCAAATCAGGAACTATGGAAAAAGTTAGATGCCAATATTCACACTTCTCTTTTAATGAAGTGGTGTGTATGTATGTGTGTGAATAACATTCAGATACATATTAAGAAAAATGCATGTGCGTGTGTGTGTAAATGAGAATAAGTATATACAGGACATACATTCTGCAATGTGTATTACATAGAATATTAGATAGAATTCCATTGTGTTAGATAGAATTTGATTGGATTAATTCTATTGTATTAGATAGAATAGTTTTAAGAGAAAAAAGTAAACAAAATAAACTGGATAGGTGCAACATGCACGTATGGTATCTCATCTGATCTGCAGTGATATAATGGCTTCCATATTTCTGAGTACATATGAGAAACTTAGCTTAAACAGTCACATCCACATGTGACCATCCTGCATTTAGCTTCTTCTCCACCTGAACAATGGAGACTACAGACAAAACTCACCCTTTATTCAGAATTGCTGGATGACCACCAGTCTCCCAATTAGTAGGCATAACTCAAATGTTCGAGACTTCCTTTCAGAACTGAAAACAGTGCATGCATGCATGTTTGTTATTGCAAAATCAATTGATAAAGGCATGCCTGCTTGTATGAACTGTCATAGATCAAATGTCACATATAAAAACTGCCAGATCACATTCACCCTGTTTTTTTGGAGAGCTAGTTCACACAAGCCAGCTGCCAAGTTTCTGCTCTG